AAGATGATGATGTGTTTTATGTGTGCTTCTTTCCATGTTTTTCTTTTCTTCTCGCATTTTTTTCTTCTTTTGTTGTTGTTGTATTTGGTGTTTCTTCTTCAGTCTCTGGATTATCTTAGAATGGTATTAGAGTACTTGTTTAAAGAAACGAGTTAAAAACACTAGACCACGTGTATATATTCTCTTAAGAAAAGATGAAAGATATGTAAGACTATATATGCAGCAGCTTGTTCCAATGCATTTTGTTGTCTACTATCACCATCACAAACCAATGTTAGATACACAACATACACGTAAATTAGACATTACTCAAGGAGAGAAAGAGTAAGAGAAAGAAGGGAAAAGAAGAAAAAAAAACGAGAGAAGAAAGAAAGAAAAGAAAAGGAAGCCGAGTCGATGGAAGGAGAACGAGAGAAAGAAGGTTGAAGCGAGAAAGAATCTGGGCATCGTAGTAATGCATTGAAAGAACGAAAGCAACAACAGCAGTCGCCGACGTTTCTTCAGCATCAGCAACAAGCCGTTTCTCGTTTTTCTTTTTTCGAAAAATATATATATATATATATATCAAAAAAAAAAGTCGCGACCGACTTGATCTCCCTTGTGCTGCCACGGCTGCGTCCGCGACTCCATTTGAAAGCGCAAAAGAAGAAAATCTCAGGACAAGCACACATACACGCATATATATATTATATATATACACAAAAACACACGTATTTAAGCTCGTCATCACCGTGTGCTAGTTAGACAAACAAACGATACACATCATTTGTTTGTCACTATTATTTTCATATTATTATTATTATTATTATCATCCTCATCATCATCGATTGAGACAAAAATAACAAAAATAAATATATTTCCGTTCTTTCAGGTAAATATAATAATATATATTATTTATTTACATATTATATTATCTAAAAGATGCAAAAAAATGTTTACGTTATCTAACGATTTAAGTAAGAGTAAATAAAATTAAACGAATACGTTTTTTTTTGTTATAAGTTGATTAAGTTCAATGAATCGCACGACCTATATACTAGCATTATGCGAATATTTGTTTAACGAACCGTTTTACAATTTAATATATTTTAAGTTACAAATACTCTGTAAACGACAAGGTTAAAAGGAACTATGCACGAGTAACATTGATATATATAATGAGAATAGCTAAATATTTGTCTGATATATCTTAACCTTTTCTTCACAGTAACTATGCATGGATGAATAACTTTTAATTTATATTAATGAAATAGAAAAATTGAAAGAAATATCAATATCATATCATGTCGAGCTTCTTATATAATAATAATAATATTATCTGTATTTAAACAGGTTTAATATTGAGGCGACTATTAGAGATTAAAAAGTAAGGGCGAGGTTTTTTATGTCATATGTCGAAAGTACTTAGTTTTTCACATACTCATGTGATCTATCGGATATTAAATGTTTATATCGACCAGTAAAATTATCTTTGTTTTTCAGAATGGGACGAAAAAAAATTCAAATATCGAAAATTACGGATGAACGTAATCGTCAAGTGACATTTACAAAACGAAAATTTGGTTTAATGAAAAAAGCTTATGAATTAAGTGTTCTATGTGACTGTGAAATAGCTTTAATTATATTTAATTCATCAAATAAACTCTTTCAATATGCATCAACGGATATGGATAAGATTCTACTTAAATATACAGAATATAATGAACCACATGAAAGTCGAACAAACAATGATATTGTACAGGTAAAATTAAGTAATATAATATCTTTATATATTTATGTTTTGAAATCTAGATTCTTAATAAGAAAGAATCAAAACATCTCGATCAGAACGATAGTGATAATGATATGGAAGATGAAAGTGCTACTGAAATGGATAGTAATCATCCACTTCCATCCCATCATCAAACACATCATCAACATCATTTAGATATACCATTAAATGATTCTAAAAAACGAACAAATAACGATATTCAAGTATTTTTTTTCTTCTTATAAATCCATAGAATCTTTTATTTTTGTTAAATGAATTTTAGTCTCATCAAGTTGGTAATTATCACACGACTTTATCAATGGTAAATGGTATTAATCAGCAAACTCCACAACAGCAAAGTTATCTATTAGGTTTGTTGTCTTATTTGCTTAACAAGGAAAAAAAACCTAGAATTTTATTATACTTTTTTTTTTCTATAAATAGTACATGGAACACCTGGAGTTGATGCTTCATCATCACCATCACCACAATCGACATATTCACCACAAAGTTCTCCGAGTGAATCGCGTACGAGTCCAAGCGTAACAAATAAACAACAACAATCATCATCATCAAGTTTAAATAATAAATTTTCAATGAATCCAAATAGTGGAGCAACATTATCGTCTGCTTCATCACGTGTCACATCTCATCATAATGATTCGACAGGAGGGGGTGGAGTAACGACAAATCGTCTCAGTGGTAAGTTTTCTTCATTTTCTATTCATGTATAAGTTAAATTAAAAAAAAAGCATTCTTCTCCTTCTAAATCAAGGTATTTTTATATGATATTTTAGCTGATTTTTCACTTAATACAGCCAGTGGTGGCGGCGGTGGTGGTGGTGGTGGAAATATCGGTGCAAATGAAAGTAATAATTTTCTTCCATGGCATACGTCGTCGCATTCGTCCTTGGCAGCTGCCCTACAAATGAACACGTTACCATTAGGGTAAGTTATACATTATATGAATAAAATATGTATTTCTATTTTATATTCTAGAATGATGAATTATGATATGCAACAAGCACTATGTGGTCCTCCATCCACAGTAAATAATAATAATTCAGCTCGTGCTAGTCCACATTTATATCATCAACAATCACATCATCATCAACAACAACAACAGCAACAACAACAACTTCTTCATCTATCTCAACAACAACATCATAATCGTCTGAAAACTGAACCATTTTCACCATCTATGCCACTTGGTACAGGGAATAATCGTTCTTCAACATTAGAAACAAATTCAGGTTCAAATACATCATTATCAAAAAATTCAAATCCTTCACAACAACATCAATCACTAGCATTGCTACAACGATCCAATGATTATGCTCAGTCATCATGTCCTGAACCTTTACTCAAGCATGCTCGTTTTGATCATACTGTTTGGCCTAATACAAGTTAACATAGAAAAGAAACGAGAGAACTTGAATATAATCGTCTTTTTCCTCTCGTTATCTTCTATAAGTTTGCTCAAACAAAAAATATCAATAAGGAAAATCTATTTTAACTAGCAAATCAACAAATAAAGACCACAGGAACTTCTGTCGATCCAATGGGCGTATGACGCTCTTTCATACTCATCTATTCACTCTTCTTCTTTTGTCATTCGCCGACAGGAACTCTTCTTCTTCTTCTTTTGCTCATCATCCTACTCAACTATCAAATAATGAATGATTATATCTATATCTATATCTATATATATAGATATATTTCGTTCTTGTCACTTTGTTTTCTTCTCCAATGTATCTAAATGTGTGAATACCGGTGTATGTATTTGTGTGTCTGATTGTTGTTGTTGTTCTTTTTTTTTGTTTTCTTCGAAGTTATCTATTTTTTTTTGCTTCAGTGTTCCACAACAATAATGATGATGTTGTTTTTCGGTTCTTGTCGTTTTTCCTTCTATTCAATTTGTATATGTATATTCAGAGAGAAAAAAAACGACACACCTACACAGTGATGATTTTATTTTTACCACTAGGCGATCTTATTTTATTTTATTTTTCTTCTTTTGTCAATTTGTTTCTTGTATTCGTTCTTCTTCTTATTCTTTTTTTTTCTTCTTCGATGATGTATGTCTGATCAACGACACTCAACCCATGTGAACAAAATAAGTTTATCATCAGAATAAATAATCTTTCTTTTGTTTCTCTTTAGTCATCTCTTACATACATCGAAAATTTTTATTTATATTTTGTTGCTTTCATTTATGAATATATATATTCAAAATTAAATGCTTCACTTATTAACATAAGAAAAAGTCGTTATGAAGTACGGACTAAGAAATCCATGTTAAAATTAATCTATATAACATATCATGAGGAACTTTTAGTGCAAATTGAATAGATTTAACCTAGTCTTAAATTTAGATACGTATAACTTCATCTTTGACATGTTTTACGCTAAGAAATAATGTCTTTGAGATGCTATTTGACTTTTCGAACATGATATAAGTGCATTCGTTAAAAGAATATGCTTAAATAGCAACAATATTTATTGAATAGAATAAATTGTAGTCTTAAAAAGCATTTAATAAAATCTGTTTTCTATTGTTTATTATTCATCATGAATAACACGTATTACTTACATATGTTATTATATGAAAATTTTATTTAATAGCTTTTTTTTCTCTTTCTATTTTATCTATATCAAACAATGGTATTGCTAATATTATAGTTTTTCAAAAAATAACCCATCCTTCTACATAAGTGCATTGTAACGTCAAAATTAGTCTTGTTTTTTTTAAAATTTATTTCAACTAATTATCTACATTTAAAAATAATATTGTTTTTATTTTCTTCTTCTCAGAGAATCATATGTTCGTGTTCTCATTATTTATTTTCATAGAAATATCTCCAGCTGACTTAAAGTTTAATATTTAACATATGATATCATTGATAATGAAACGAATCAATAACTGGTTGTTTTTCTCATAGAGGATATATATTCAAAATCGATCTAGTTATGAAGAGAATATCAGCACGAATAATTAAAGAAACACTAATATTTATCCTTCAATATTAAATACACATACACAGTTGAATTGACAATAAAGTTATGTTTTGTTAAAGTTTAATTGATGCTAGTGGAAGTATAGTTAAAATATCGAAGTAAGATCTTTGGCCAATTTGATTGTAACTATAGTTATTTTGTTTACAACTTTTTTCATAATTGGTAATTTGATATTTTTTGAATGGAAGTGATTTTAGTTTAGTTTTTAACTTTTTATTTAATTCAAATCTTACATTCACAATACATTTGTACAATATTTATCAATCAGTTCAAAACGAAAATTCATACTGATCTATGTTATTGCCATATATACATTGAAGGCGTCATTTTCTTCATTAATTTTTGTTTTCTCCGATCTGAGACTTGTTGATATTGTTATTCATATTTATTATAGAATTATGTAACTGTGATTGATTATGTTGTTTATTATCTGAAAACGATTGTATTCGAAGAATATCATTAAAATTGAGTGTACCATTAAAATGATTCCTAATCAAGACTAGAAATAATAATAATTACAATGGTGTATAATTAAATAAACATTATTATAAAATGTGGATATATTTACCGACGAGACCACCTAGAATAATTGTAACCATAATCAATCGAAATATTCGAAAAGTGAACATATTATATATTTTACACAAAGTTAAGAAAAATACAAATGTTCAAAAATAAAATATCCTTTTCTATTTAAATACAGTAACGGAGATAATGCAAACTTGTATTTATATCAATGTTATTATATATATATATGTATCAGGAATACTCAATGCACCAATCGAAAAGAAAGATAATATGCCATAGGATGTGTTTCTTGGAAAAAGATGGAAAAGAAATAGAACATTTCTTTGTCAGAATTTCTTCCTATACGAGAAAATATCTCACATACTATAGCAGAGTTAATATCATTTGTATATTTGTACAGTTACTATGAAGTTATATACACTTCTTTGGGATATTTTCCAATAACTCAGCAGTTCATTATTGTTTGATGCATCGTTTTTATGTACGCCAAGATTTCACTATATTAATCTCAAAGGAATTTATACTATTAAAGATCTTTATAAGGTGTCACATATATATATCTTACTTTAAAATAGTAGATTAGTGAAAATAATTGTATCTTATATTTCACATATTATATTATGATCGATAGATTAATCATATACTAGTAGCTCAATTATTAAAAATGATAGAATTACTCTGCAATACGTCAGTTTCTTTTGCATATATCTGCAATGTTTCTTCAAATCTAACATGGAATGAACATATCTTTGTATAGTATTTAAATTTTATAGAAATATTTTGAAACTAAAGCCAAAACTCTAATATAATTAAGATACAAGTTTTACTGTATAGATATTAGCACCATCTATCAAGAGAAGAATAAAAGATGAATGACATACATCCTATTTTTTGAGTAAATTGACCGCTTATTTTTTGTACTGAAATAGATACTTAATATATCGCATATTAGAAGTATAATTGAAAGAAATACACTCATTGCTTTGCTTCAACTACCAACCATTTTGTTACTCGTTTAAACAGCTGTAATATCTAATGGAGGAGGAGGATAGCTTAAATATCTTTGCTGATAGACGAATCGTTCTTCTACACGAGGCATTCGATACAAATGTACATCTTCGCATAGTGTGTGTGAGCGAAAAACGAATCTAACGCTGCCATCACATATTTCGTTGGAATATAATTTCTTTTTGATACATATATAAATAAGATAATTATCTCCTTTTTTTTAAAATACATTCTATTATTGTAGATAAACGCGAATCTTTTTCTAGTTTACAATAAAAATCATGTTTAAGTCTTTATCATTAATTGTCGTCATCTTGGCGACAATTGCTTTGGCCAAAGAAGACTCAAGTGGAAAGAAAAAAGAAGATGTTGGTACCGTAATTGGTATTGATCTTGGTGTAAGTATTTCTTCAATTTGATAAATAGTTTATTTCATTTTCTATTTTTTGTTTTAAGACAACATATTCATGTGTTGGTATATTTAAAAATGGTCGTGTAGAAATTATTGCTAATGAACAAGGTAATCGTATCACACCATCATATGTTGCATTTACTGCTGAAGGTGAACGTTTAATTGGTGATGCTGCCAAAAATCAATTGACATCAAATCCTGAAAATACAGTATTTGATGTTAAACGTTTAATTGGTCGTGAATTTAAAGATGCAAGTGTTCAATCTGATATCAAACATTTTCCATTTACTGTTATTGATCGTAAATCTAAACCAACAATACAAATTAATGTTGGATCAGATCAAAAATATTTTGAACCAGAAGAAATTTCTGCTATGATCCTTGGTAAAATGCGTGAAACTGCTGTAAGAATTTTCTTTTTCTTCTCTTATATTCATATATATATTTCTATATCTATAGGAAGCCTATCTTGGTCATAAAGTTACACATGCTGTTGTTACTGTTCCAGCTTATTTTAATGATGCTCAACGTCAAGCTACCAAAGATGCCGGAACAATTTCTGGTTTAATTGTTATGCGTATTATCAATGAACCAACAGCTGCAGCTATTGCTTATGGTCTTGATAAGAAAGAAGGTGAAAAAAATATTCTCGTCTTTGATTTGGGTGGTGGTACATTTGATGTCTCATTATTAACAATTGATAATGGTGTATTTGAAGTTGTTGCAACCAATGGTGATACACATTTAGGTGGTGAAGATTTTGATCAACGTGTTTCCGAACATTTTATTAAATTATTTAAAAAGAAAACTGGTAAAGATGTTCGAAAAGATAATCGTGCTGTTCAAAAACTCCGACGTGAAGTTGAAAAAGCTAAACGAACATTATCATCACAACATCAAACTAAAATTGAAATTGAATCATTCTTTGATAATGAAGATTTTAGTGAAACATTAACACGTGCTAAATTTGAAGAATTAAATATGGATTTATTCCGTGCAACAATGAAACCAGTACAAAAAGTTTTAGAAGATTCTGATTTAAAAAAAGCTGATATTGCCGAAGTTGTTCTTGTTGGTGGTTCAACACGTATTCCAAAAGTTCAACAATTAGTTAAAGATTATTTTGATGGTAAAGAACCATCACGTGGTATTAATCCAGATGAAGCTGTTGCATATGGTGCTGCTGTTCAAGCTGGTGTACTTTCAGGTGAAGAAAATACTGGTGATCTTGTTTTACTCGATGTTAATCCATTAACTATGGGTATTGAAACAGTTGGTGGTGTAATGACAAAAATTATTCCACGTAATACAGTTATTCCAACAAAGAAAAGTCAAGTCTTTTCAACAGCTGCTGATAATCAACCAGTTGTAACCATTCAAGTATTTGAAGGTGAACGTCCAATGACAAAAGATAATCATGTTTTAGGTAAATTTGATCTTACTGGTATTCCACCAGCACCACGAGGTGTACCACAAATTGAAGTTACATTTGAAATTGATGTTAATGGTATTCTTAAAGTTACTGCTGAAGATAAAGGTACTGGAAATAAAAATAATGTTGTTATTAATTCAAATACAAATCGTTTATCACCTGATGAAATTGAACGTATGATCAAAGATTCCGAACGATTTGCTGAAGAAGATAAAAAAGTTAAAGATCGTGTTGATGCTAAAAATGAACTTGAATCATATGTTTATTCATTAAAAACTCAAATGGCTGATAAAGAAAAACTTGGTGGTAAATTATCATCTGATGAGAAATCAACAATTGAAAAAGAAATTGAAGAAAAAATCAAATGGCTTGATGAAAACCAAGCATCAGCTGATGTTGATGATTTCAAAGCACAAAAAAAATCTATTGAAGATGTTGTTTCACCAATTATGACAAAACTTTATCAAGGACAACCACCACCACCAGGTAGTGATGTTCCACCAACCGGTGATGAAGCTAATAAAGATGAATTGTAAACATTTTCTTTTACGAAGCAGAAAAAAAAAGATCTATCATTTTAGTTAAATTAGTTTATTTCCTTGTTTTCTCTTCCATGTTGTTTTCGTTTTGCACTCGATTGTTATCTGAGCCTGTTTTTGAAAATATATTTTAAATTTTAAACTTTATTTATATATGTTGTCAAGTAAAAGATGAATAAGCGCGAAGAAATTATTTCGATTGTGCTTTCTCTTTCAAAAAAAAACTCTCAACAGCTGTCTTCTTCTTCTTGTTGTTGTTAGTGTTGTTGTGTCTGTTTTATATTCTTATCAAAAGCATCTATATTGTATTTTAAAAGAAATATATACATATATATTACTACACAAATTATTTATTTATTGTAAAAAAGAAAAGGAAAGGTATGAGTTTTCAATCACTTAATCCAGAATTAACAGCAAAAGTTTTATTTTTGGCTAATTTACAACGAAATTTGGTGAGCTGTTATATTCTTAAAGTAAAAATAAATGAATGAGATATGTTCAGATACAAAATGAAAATCAACATATTATAAATGAAAAGACAATTGAAGGAAATAATATGATAACAACAACAAATACTGAACAACAGAAATTAATGCATCCACTTCTAATGCCTTCATTAGTATGTCATAATTAAATAGAATTTATCAGAGTTTAAAGCTATTATTGTGGAATCTTCTCATTAATATGAAACGTGTTTATATATCAGGTTGTATTTCTCGAAAGAAAAGAATTGGTAGCTTTTTCTATTAATTTGATAGAATATCGTATTGCATTTAATATGTAGTAATCATCTCAAGTCATACTTTACACTATAAATATCAATGAAGAACCGGAAAATTTCGAATTTTTTGTAAATTTTTCATAGATTGTTTCATAATTCAACATGGATCATCTTCTTAGAGTCAAATACTAAATTACTTTCACGACAAAAAGAAGTATATGTATACCAGTGTTGCCAACTCTTCCGGATTTTCCTATTTTTTATGAATTTTTTCCTTGACAGCGGCTCAGTGACATATACTTATATATTTAGTTTATTATATTTTGAATTTTGATGTTGATTTTCTTTTGATATACAGAAACACGAGTTTTTTAAAATAATAAGTTGTATAATTGAGAACAAGATTTTGAGAAATTCATTTTAGCTGGTAGAAGTTAACTGTTGAAAACCTTTCCGGATTTAACAAAAAAAGTTTCCAAAATTTCATAATAAATTTCGGTTTTCTGACTATGACAGTTGGCATCACTTATGTATACCTCTCTCTTCTTTCCTCTATATTGAGATTAAACGAGTTATTATAAATATAGTATATATCTAAGAATAATCCTTATGCCAATTAGTGTAAAAATTTATTTCATTAGAATGTTTCTTCACAAAAGATTTCTGCTATGTTATCAGCACTAACTCCAACCTCCATTGGAAATAATTCGACAATATTACCAACTAACACTACACCAATACAACAATCAATAGCGACGTTAACATCAAATAATAATAATACTAATATAATAAACTTAGGAGCAGCTAATCTATCAACGAATATACGTTCAAATAGATCAAGTTTCGGATGGGGAAATCGCGAACGTAAAATGGAAGAAAATTGGCGTATGCAAAATCGTAGTCTTTAAATAAAAACCCAAATAATAGAAACAAAAAAAAAAAAATAAAATGTTTTCTTCTTAAACAACTGATACTGCCATTATATGATGATCATAATCATCATCAATTCGACTTGAATAATCAATACTTAATGTTTTCATAGTTTTATGTGGTAAAATTAAAAGTTTTGAAATTTGTTCTTGAACATCACTTCCACCATCAGATGAACGTTTAACTGTATCTAAATTATAATCTGTATGTGATAAATGAAGACGTCGTAATTTTTCTCGATATCTTGTTGCACATTCATATGCACGTTCTTCAACAATAGCATGACGTTCTTCATTATTAATTGTCATATATGATTCATGATCAGTAAAATAACAATTATATATATGTCTTAAACGTTCCATATCTGCTAATTCTTCTAATAAAATTAAGAATTTATTTCAAAAATAAAAATTATCCAATAAAATACAAACCATAAAGTTTGATTTTACTTGGAACATCCCAAAGTGTTTTTAAAAAATATGCTGGTAATTCTAAACGTTGTTGTTGAGTTTCTTTTAATTGTTGACCAAAAAAACATATTATTCCAAGTCCATAAATACCAATATAAGTCGTCATAAATAAAACTGCACCTATATTCCCAAATTCAATCTCATTCATCCATTCATTTTTTACAGTCGATGTTACATTCATCTTGTATACTAAATATCTAACTACTAGTGGCAGCAGATTGATTCGTATTCTTTTATAATGATAGAAGAAGAAGAAGAAGAAAAGAAAGAACAAATAACTACATATGTTTATTTTGTATATCTTTAACTATTGTTTTATAATGTTCTGCATTACGTTTTAATACATCTTTAGCACTTCCTAATAAACGATTAAAATCTGCTCGATCAAGTACTAATAATTGACAATGTGTTATTGCAATAGCAGTTGCTGCACGACGTTCATTGTATAATAAAGCACGTTCTCCAAAATAATCACCTGGTTGACATGTTTTAACAACAATATAATCAGTTTTATTTGATAATTCACGTATACGAATTTCTACATTACCGGATTGAACAAAATACACTAAACGATATATATAAAGATAGATAGAATATTAAATGATATCTTTTTTACTAGCATCAGCATTATCACCCTCATGAATAATCGTATCTCCACGTTTATATTCTTCACATTTAAGTGCATCAGCAACATCTAACATTTCTTTTTCATTCATATTTTTTAGAATTTGACAATTTCTTAAAAATTCTAAATGACGTTGACGTTTTTTAAATGCAACAAATCGAACAACTTTTGAGAATATATCTCGATTCATACGCCATAATTTTCCATCGGTTACTGCACGAATTGTAGCTAAACGTGGTTGTCGATAAAGTAAAGCTAATTCTCCAAATGAACCTTCATTATTATCTATAAAGAATAAATCTTTCTCACAATAATCTAAAAGATTTCATTTTTGTTTTACATATTTTCACTTGTTTATTATTAATTAATGCTTCATAAACGCCTATCTGAATAAGATAAAAATAATCTCCTTCTTCTTTTTCTTTCATTAATATTTCACCGGATTTAACATTATATGATTGAAAATATTGAATAATTTCTTCGATTTGGTCATAATCAAGTGCACGAAATGGTAATGTTGTTGGAATTGTTTGTTGTAGAAAATGATGTTCTTCAGGAGATTTTTCATTCGTTGATATTGATAAAACAAGTTTTTCAATTTCAGGATTAAATGTATCACCAAATAAAACTGGACGTGTCATACGACGATTTTCATATTCATCAAGATTTTCAAATGCTGTACGCATACATTCTTCAGTTTTATCATCCATTATATCATTAAGATTTGTTTCCGAAGAAGTTTTATTAGATAAAAAATATTCATAAGCATATTTATATAAATCACGAGATTTTATTTTCGATGATATAACAGAACGAACAAAATCTTCAAGCATTTCATGTAAACCATCAGGAATAGTAACATTAATTGTGTTACGATTCATATTTAACGTTAAAAATATTATGTTAGTTTTTGATGAACAATGGCGCGCATGATGAATCAAAGTTATAAAAGAATTTCTATTTATTATAAAATAGAGCCTGAATAGGAAGAATGTCTTTATTAATCAAAAATAGATATAATTTATGATATATACAACGAAAATTTAACTAGAAAACAAAAGCTAACAATTATATTTCATCCCTTTGAAAATAGATCATCTGATGATTATTTCGTTTTCTTCATTCGTAATAATTGTACATATGCCAAAATAAGAAATATAATTGTCATTGAACCTAATGCAACAAAATTTTTCCATAAATCCCATTGTGTTTCATATTCAATATGTGCGACATTATGTATAATATCTGTACCATTAATTGGACAAATATTTGTATTATTTTTTAAGCAAAGTGTTAAACCACTAAATTCATTTATATTAAGTATATTAAATGAATATCGAAATATACTTATCCACTTAATCCATGATAGAAAGCTAACTACAGATGATATTTCAACTAGAAATCCTCCAAAAACCATCATTAATACGAAACACATTGCTGATATTAAATTTGCAATACCAAATACTTGTACACTAGCTGATATTAAAAAGCAAAAAGCAGCTCCACATGTTGTTGTTATAAAAATAGCAAAATAGAAAATAAAAAATTTGTCCACTGTTTGTTGAAAACCAATCATAAAATAAACAATAGTTGAAAAAAGTGCAGATGGTATTATACGTAATGGTATTAAATCACATAATAATTTTGCAATAAAATATGTTGAAACATGATAATATCCACTTGCATTTTCATGAATAAATAAAGCTCGTTCTTTAAGAAATAATTCAATAGCTGATAAATTTGCCATGACTTGATTTGTTACAATAAAAAATATTGCACCCATACGATTTTTAATTCCTGTATCTTCAATACGATTAATTCGTAAATAAATTAAACCAACTAATGTAGCAAAAAATATTGTTACAACTGTTTGCATAATAACTAAACTTGGATTTCTAAATACATTCCGTAATGTACGTTGTGAAACATAGGAAATTTCTGCTAAACGTGATGTCGATATGATTTCTACTTGTAATTGATTGTTTTCTGCTGTTGTTCGATTACTTGAATTTGAGATTTGTTGTAAAATTGATCCATAGATATCGGATTTTATATATAAATCATGTAAACGATGAGCATTTTGTACATGTTTTTTATCAGAATCCGAATTCGATTCATCAAGATTTTCTATTGGAGAATCACCTTGAGTTATATCGAGAAGGAAATCTGCTGGATTATCATGTTCTTCACAAACATAACCAATAGAAGAAAAGTATGGAAGAACCTTATTCGCAGGACCATGATATATGCAATGACCAGCAGCTACCAAAAATAATGTATCAAATAATTTAAATATTGAATAACGTGGTTGATGAATTGAAAAAATAATAGTACCTATATTAAGATTAAAAGAATGATGAATAGTCAAAAATTCTTCTAAGAATACTTACGTCCTCGTCGGGATAATCGATGAAGATATTCCATAACATTACGAGCTGTTGAAGAATCGAGACCTAGTTATAAATTAAAACAATAAATGTATATAGTATCTCTGAAACAAAAGTATTTTCTTTTCTCTTTAAATGATCGTAACTGTCATATAGTCATCCTCTGTTAACTAAAATGAATATCTATGGTCGATTTTGATAATAAATTATAAGTTAATTTGAAATCTAATTTATTTACCTGTTGTTGGTTCATCCAAAAATAATACAGATGGTGATAGAACTAATTCCATACCAATATTTGTTCGTTTTTTTTCTCCACCAGATATTCCACGTATAAATTCAGTGCCTACATATTTCTCTGCACATTTTTCTAAACCTAATTGTTCAATAACTTGTTGAACAATAGTTGTTTTTGCTGTTCGTGAAATTTTTTTCGATAATCGAAGATTCGCTGAAAACATTAAATTTTCTCGAACTGTTAATGTTCCACTAATAATATCATCTTGTACAACATAACCCACACGATATTTAAAATCGTCAGTTTGTGTTTGTCCATCCATTAATACTTGTCCATGAAGACCATGTCGATCTTTTCGATCAGCTAATATATCTAATAATGAAGATTTTCCACTGCCTGTTGGTCCAAGAATGGCATTCATGCCTGGTTTAAATATTCCATTTATATCATAAAGAATTTGTTCATGTTTCTCCTTACGACCTACTAATGAATATATATTACAACATCGTTGTGTACGTAATGTATAATTTAAAGAATAAAAAGTAATTGTTGAACCTTGAGTATTAATTAATAAATTTTCATCAGTTACAGCTGATTTATTTAATGTTTGACTATTTTCTATATCCATTATTAGTTTTGATTTAGGTATAACATATCTAAGAATTTTAATATTAAAAATAGAAAAGCATATATTTATATATCTCTAAATTTTAACATCACCCTTTATTAATTATCGAATTTACATCTATTTCTGTAGTCATTAATTTTTTTTATAAAATACCACAATAACCTTTTTCTTAATGTAAAAAGTCTTATTATATTTTTATCTCAATTTTTTTCTTCTTAGATAAACATTACTTATCAGTTTCTATTATTATATCACAAATAAAAAGTTTAAAGCGTTGAGTATATCAAAACAAAAACAAACATGATCATAAATAAATAGTTTTATATAAGACAAGAACTACGTCCAATTATATAGTCAACAAAGTTTCGGAACGGAATACATTGGAACATCAAAAACAATAGATGTCGTTCTATAATCAAATAGGTTTTCCACTGGATAAACTCTAAAGATTTCTTTATTTGAATGCGTATAAATAAGAAATATATTTCTGAACATTTTCATTTTATTTTATTTTGAAAAATTTACAGACGGATACAGTATAATGAGAACATTATTCTGTGTACTAAATATAAACGAATAGGTCAGCCTATACTCACGGCTGACTGACTGAATACGAGATGATTACGATATATTACATTATCTATCTCTTTATTTTGTCACTGGCACCTAGATAGTATCTGTGTCATTTCGATCATAAATCGTCTGCTTGTGTTTGTCTTTGTTTCTGTTGTTAGTATATATACCCGAGACAACATGTTCATACAACATCATAGTCTTTCGATTTATTTTTTCAATATATATTTTCACACTAATAGTGAAAGACATGAAATTCATATCATTCATTGCTTCAACAATGTTGATTGCATTAATCAGTCAACAATCAACAATGGGATGTAAGTTTTTCTATAATATTAAAATAAATATATCTTTATATTCTGTGTTTTATAGTACCACTTAATACTACAGTCGAAGGAGAAACATGTTCAAAAGGATTTGAATTGATCGATGGTCATTGCAAGCCAATTAAATCTGAATTACATGAAAATGTTGAATCTGCTTCAATTCCTGTCGAATTTACAACTATTCTTGACGAAACTGTTTTTAAGAAGGTCACACCTCCGTTAGATGGTGGTTGCGCAGACGGGTGGGAACATGGTGAACATGGTATTTGTCAAGAAATTAAATCTAAATTACATGAAACAAATGTTGAATCTACTTCAATGCCTTTCGAAATTCCAACTCTTGTTACCGAAAAAGTTGTTCTTAAAGAAGACAAACCTGAAATATCCGGTCGTTGTCCCGAAGGAATGGAACATGGTAAATATGGTATTTGTCAAGATATTAAATCTACTTCAACTCCAGTCTACATCACAATTGCTCCTCAGGAAAAACTTGTTCTTAAGGAGAAGCCCGAACTCCCAATATACGGTGGTTGTCGCGAAGGAATGGAACATGATGAACATGGTATTTGTCAAGAAATTAAATCTCATGATATGATCGAAGCTACTACTGAATTAACAGATGATGCTGCTAAATTATCAGATCACACCGTCAGACAAAAAGACGACATTGTTAGACCAAAAGGCAAGATCGTTAAACCAAAAAAAGACATCGTTGAACCAAAAGAAGACATTGTTGAACCAAAAGATGACGTTGTTAAACCAAAACCCGACATTGTTAAACCAAAAAAAGACAATGTTAAAGTAACCGATGATAGTTTGGAAAAAAAAGATGATGTTAAATCAAAAGAAGACATTGTTAAACCAAAAGAAGATATTGTTGAACCAAAGGACGATATCGTTGAACCAAAAGAAGACATTGTCAAACCAAAACCCGACATCCTTAAACGAAAGAAAAACATCGTTAAACCAAAAGAAGATATTGTTGAACCAAAGGACGATATCGTTGAACCAAAAGAAGACATTGTTAAACCAAAAGAAGACGTCGATGAATCAAAAGAAGACATTGTTAAACCAAAACACGACAGTATTAAATCAACTGATGATACTTTGAAAAAAAAAGATGATGTTGTTACAAAACCAACTAAATATGAAATTCCTCGTGGTTGTCCTAAAGGAACTCAACCTGATGAACGAGGTTATTGCTTGGACATTAAACCTTTCAAACTTACAAAAATCATTTTTAATCCAAAAATACTTCTTGCAAAAGATGGTTCCTGTCCACGAAATTATGTAATGATTAAAGAACTATGTTATTACGTTAACCCTAGAAAAAATTTAAGACTCAGACCATCATTTTCAACAGCTGACGATTTTTTTTCAAATGCTTTTCAAACAAAAAAATATACAGATGATAGTATTAAATATGAATATGTATTAGTTCTCGTCGATAATTCATGTCCAGAAGGTACAGAACACAGTGATTATGGTCTTTGCCGAAGACGTGTTTATCCAACAATGTCCAACAAATTCATTAAAGTCGATGGCCGCTGTGATGTTGATAATGAACTTCTTGATGGTAAATGTGTATTAAAGAAAAAAGTTGAAATGCCTGATTTACTCAATATGACAAAAACCAATGAACCTTTAACTGTTACTCTCGAAACAGTATCATATCGTAAGGAAGAACCAAGAAAATACAATGCTAAAGAAGCTTTGATTCGTAATTAGAATATTCATCAGAATCAACTCCTTCATGATTTTAAATGTATAAACTTGCATTAATTTAAATATAAATTTTCATTTGTACTTTTTTTTTTTCTTAAACTTAAATAAAATACAAAAATTCTAAACACATAAATATATTCGAATGATCAATTATAGTTGAACTATACAGTTTTAATTAATTAATCAATTGTTCATGTTTCGATGATGAATTTTGACAATGAAATGGTATTATTAAAGCAGGATTTGAATGAGTTCGTACTTTTGGAGAAAATCTTAGATCTTGTGATGAATGTGTAAATAATGAAAATCGATGATGTTGTGAACGTGAATTCGGTAGTCGTTGTTGTTCTTGATTTGGATCAGTAGATGAAGGTAAAAGATCTTCGTCTTGTTCACTAAGTCCAATATTTGCTGGTGAATAACATTTCAAATAACATTTTAAATAAAATAAGATTGATGATGGAAAAAATAATATAAAAAGTAAGACGGGTTTAAAACATGTACCAATTAAAAGTATTTGAGCAAATGTACGACTATTGACTAGATCATTATTTACTGATGCTAATTGTGCATCAAAGATAATTTCAAGTGTACGATATAAATAGAATGGTAAAGATGTTAATGTTATTATAATAAATATATAAAGTATATAAATACATAATTGACGTTCATGATTAAATGCTAATGTAACCTTTTTAATAATTATACAACAACATAAACGAATCTGTAGACATATCTCAAGAACAAAACCTAAATATAGTAAATAATAGATAAAAATAACTTTTCAACAAAAAAAAGAAGATTAATTTCTATATTACCTAGTAAATGAAATGCAAAAAGAAGAAGAAAATCTGCTTCTATTAAATGTATAAGTCGAAGAGAGAATTCGAAATTATGATTAGTTTGTAAATAACATATTCTTGTTTGTTCGGATAAAAATAGACCATCATTATTTTCTATTCGTGTAAGATTTAGATGTAATATAGTTGTGTTTATAACACTGTTATTAATAGAAGAAGTTCCTAAATTTTCCATCGTTCCATTTGAATAAGTATGCTCAACACTTGATTGAAGTGGTGGTTTAATGAAATCTTTTATATTTGCGACACCCCATAACCATAAACCATCAACAGACCATGCTAATGCAAGTACAAATGCTATTAAAATATTTAAATCGGTACATAATAATTGATTTAATGTTGATAAATTTGATAATCTAACTTGAAATGCTTTATTTAATATATAATGATAACGACATAATACACCAATAGTTAATAATGGTATAAAATGAAGTGTAAATTTCCATAGTAAAATATGAGCAGCACATAGATGATGACGAGCTAGAAGCGCTTGAAAAAAATATTTTTCATCCAAACAACTTATTATTGATGATAAACATAAAAGACAATCATTACTTGTTAATGCAATAAGAAAACGATATTTATTATGTGCTAATACATGTATAAATTCTTGTTCGTGTGTATTATTTAATTTTCTTTGTTTATATTGATAAAGAATAAACCAAAGTTTAATACAACATATGAAATTAAATATAACACCAAATATACTAATAATTAATGTAAATGTTGAATGAAATAAAGGTGAATATGCGACAATTACTGTACCATAATGTGTTGTATTTATTGATTTATTAGATGAATGAAAATATGAATCATGTAATAACATTTGTTGTAATTTTACTTTTGATTTATTAAATAATGGTTATCTAAAAACAGACTTTAGTAATAAGCGTCTTATCGTCATTCTATTTTATGTTGTTCTCTATCTTGTGTTTTTTTTTTCTTCATATATTTCTTCTCTTTAATCTCTAATGGGAAAATGCCAATTGGAATGAAAAATCGAATGAGTCGCATACAGACATTAACATATATATATATATATTATTAATAGATATGCTGCAAAACTAACAAAATATACTGTCATCATCGATGAAAACGATTAACCGGAAAAAAAATTCTTGTAAAAATGATAGAAACAAATAAAATACTCTTATATATAGAACTTCCTGACATAATGAGATGACTATAGGCGTTGTTCTTCAAAGCATATATAATATGCACGTTATATTTTCTAACCCACTTGATGATGAAAATTAGGATGGTAAGCAGAAAAATCATCGTACTTGTAAACATAGATAATACGAGTTTAAAAAAGAAACATCTATATAAAGGACACTGATGAAAGATAAAAATCAAAGAGAACTAAGTACTTTCATGCTTAAGCAGTTGAAAATATAAAAAAGAGAATAGCATGTCGAACAAGTTGTATAACAGTCTAGCTTAGTTCACTTTACTCCGTAAACTATCTTTGTCGAATAACTAGAATTTTATAGAATATATTCTTGTTATTTAGAAATAAGGGATGTGTAATCAATCAAAATAATCAAATAACATACGAAGTCACGTTCTCAACATAGAAAAACTGTCTTCTTATATATTATCCGTGATATTTCAGATATTATTAAATTCACAACAACACAGACCTACTCATGTAATATGACGTACGACTATATTTGACTTTTCTTTCTAGATTTACATAATAATGATAAGTATAGACAACAAATAATTCGAGACACCCACAATTTTTATTTAGTATATTAAAATTATAAAATTATCTATGAAGCATAGAAAATTTGCATATTGAAGCGAACTTAATAAAGGTATCTATGACGTTGAAGAAAAACAGGTCTCATATTCGAACATATTATTATATTGTATTATTAACACACATACAAACACACAGCGATACTTATCTATTTTTTTCTGTAATAGACGAAAACTCCCTTTGTCTTTAGGGATATATACATACAGAAGGATCTAAAGAATAGAACGGATGTACTCGATCGACGTATTTTTTTCTTTTTTTTTTATAAATAAGTAATACAGCTCGAAACTATTTCTATTTCCCTTTCTGCTTAGTAGTTTTTACGAATCATTTGCCATAAAAAATAAAAACTCATTTATTGCTTAACAGAAGCTTAGAATTGGAAAAAATAGAGATTTCTAATGAAAAATCTTTTGTATGATAAATGTTTTCAAAAAAATAAAAATTAGTCACCATTGACAAAAGATTAACTATTTCTTTTGTTCTGTTGTCTGAAATTAGTCAATAAGTCATGTGAATAATATAAAAAGCATTTTGTCAATGGAAGGAATATAAAATTGATGCACTGTTTTTCTTAAGATATGTCGAATTGCCTGACAAGAAAATTTATTATTAGATGAAAAAATAGTTTTATTGTTAGAAGAAAAAAAAATTCTCTTTTTCATAACAAAAAGAATTTCTAGTAAGTAATTATTACGTCACTTGATTAAAGTACGGCTTTTATTATTACCTTGATGTTTTTTATAGACGTGACAGCAATGGCAGTATATGAATAGAAAGAAAAGATAAACAATATGACACGACTCATTTTTTTCTTCTCGAAGTAAGAAAAAAAAACTATTTTTTTATGATCATGCAGTAAATATGTAGCTATCAAAATTCCGTTCAGACATATCTCATGCGTATTAAATGGGTGTAGAGAAAGAAAGGCCAGTAGTCACAACCTTCTAGTTCATTTCCATTATTTTAATGAATATTTTCTTCTAATCAGAATAAATGTTATAGATATGAGATCTCCAGAGAATTGATTTATACGATAATATATGTTTCTTTTCTTTCATTTATTTTATTAAATTTATATCAAAGATTAAGCAAACAAAGAAAAAGAGAGAGAGAGAAAATAGAATAATGATATCATTTCATTACATAATTAATATTCATTTGAATTTAGGTAAAAGTCGACGAAAACTAGTAGCTGAATGATGTTTCTAAAACAAAATAAAAATAGATCAAAAATTGCCTGGAATTTCTTTTCTCACCTTTTTTGGCATCGGAGAACAATCTATTTGTGGTAACATATAATTGATTAATTTATTCTGTTGACAACTTTTAATTAATAATTTTTCTTGATTGATCTTAAAATTAAAAAAGATTGCTTTTTGAAAAAATCAAGAATCAAAAAAATAGATTGGTACCTCTCGATCGCCGAGCTCATCCGAAAGAACTTTAATATGATCGGCTAAACGATCACGAGCTTCTGTTAAATCCATATTACGGCGCCGTTCTGTTTCATATTCTCCATAAAGCATTGCATATTCCTCTAAACAAAAATATTAGAAGATTTATATTTAATCTATGAATTCATTTCATTGCACTTGAATATATTTCTATCTACTAAAATACCTAAGATGGGTTTACAAAAAATATATTTTTTTAACGCTCGTTTGAGCCTGAGATGGGATATTGTTAACATACACTTGAATAACTTCTATATATGTTTATTTTCCATTGTCTTTTTTTAGCAAATAAACCATAACGATTATATTATCTTTACATATTTAATCAAAGAAAAACTAGGGTCATTATTTTCAAAATAATATCAACGTATATTCGTCATCAAAATCATCTATAATTAGATCTGATCTCAGCGATAAATTAATCATAAATGATATATTAAGCTTCATAGAAATACAACTAAATTCATGTATTGTATTACTTCAAAATACCGATGAGAATATACAATGGAGTAAAATTGCATTGTAGTAATGTAAACAAATTATTTATATTAACTAGGAATAAACTAGTAATGTTAGATCTTTGATGAATTAGTATATAAAGAAGGTTATTTATAGATTTAATTCGATCAAAACATACCGACTTCATATAGAAACTGTAACTATTTATATAAAAAAATGTCAAAGAAAAGATGTACTATAACATACTCGGGGGAATTATATAATCCATCTGTAAATACACGAAATACCACATATAGAAAAGAAAGGAATAAGCCATGAGAAAAATCAAAGACTAAGTACCTGACGGGACTAAAGATAGCGATAGTTATACTGAATAACATATACATAAGAATAGGATGAAACTAAATTTATATAAGTAATACCGTAAAACATTTTAGTCTTATGAAATATCTTATAGAGCGTTACAAAAATCTATGAGAAAAGTAAATATTTTAATTACACTACTTATCAAGCTTCATCAACTAATTGTTTTTTTTTCAATGATAGGTATGATTGTGAAACTTTTATTGCTACGGAGAAACTTGACAAATACTGTTGACAGTTATGTTTTTCTATTGCAAAAAGAAGCAGTACCTACAAAATCTTGTGCCATCGTTTTTGTGCATTTTTTTTAACGCGTCATCACGAAAAGAAAGTCTAATGGCGTCAAGTCCGGTGTTCAAGAAGATTATGAAATCGCACTGTTTCCGCGCAATTACTGATGAACTGAAAGAAAGAAATCAATCGTCTAAGCTCTAGAATTGGCACCTTTAGGCGTCTTTCTATAGTGCCATATTAAAATAGATGCACTGAAATGATAGCGCAAGATTTTGTCGACTTAAACTCTACACAAAAGTGTTGAAATTGAAGCATAAACAAAAAGTTACTAGGTACTGCTTTATTTTGCAATAGAAAAACGGCTGATTTTTATAATCCATTCGATAACAATACCTGTCAACAGTACTTGTAAAGTTTCTCCGAAGCAATAAAAGCTTCAATCATACTTATCATTGAAAAAAACAATTACTTGATGAAGCTTGATTAATAGTGTAATTAAAAGAATGTACTTTTCTCTCAAAATTTTGAGACACTCTATATTATCATGTATTATTTTTGATGAGAAAACTTTTAAAAAAAAGAAGTAAAATTATTCTCATAGATAAAAATGAATATTTATATAAACTAATTGAATTGATTAATCAATATTTGATTACTAAAAGTCTTATCAAAAATGTAAATATATAGTTATCATTTCTTTTAAACCTCTTCAGTTTATCACCGTCATAAATAAAAATAACTGATGAAATGTTCAAAGATACATAAATCCTTATACCCTGAATTCTTCTACCTACCGACTAATAATTGTTTTTTCCCCTAAAATCAGCGTCGGAGAATAAGGAGCCTATAAGTGTCAATGAAAATTGCTTTACTCATTAATTAATAAATATGCGGTTGAACTAAAGCTACTCTGTAGTTATAAAAGTCTTTTATTATTTTAAATTTTACCAATGATTCTATTCATTTGTTTTTCTTTTTCATCCATTTGTTGTTGAATAATACTTTTTCTATCATTAAATTTCATTGGACGATCAATTTCAATTGGAATGATTGCTTTTGTTGATTCAAGATCACATTGAATTTCTTGATCATTAACAATCGGACATACCGAATTATCTTTCGGTACAATTAAAATAGTTGATGAACAATATGATTGGATAGTTGTTGTTGTTGTTGGAGGTGCAATATACAGAGATGATGAATATAAACTTGAGTCTGGTTCGGTCTGCATATGTTCATTTTCATAGGTTATTATTGTTGATTGTGATGCACAATCAGTTAAATCAATATGTGGTGTTTGTGTATATTCATTTAATTGAAGAAAACTATTATTTATTGTTTGACATTCTTGATCAAGTAAAATTTTAGTTTCTATTTGTATATCTTCTTTATTAATTTCAATTTCTATTGGTAAATCTTCACAGAATAGAATTGGAAGAATTGCTGTATCAGATTCATCAATTTCAGGCTCATATTGAATTGACACATCAATATGAGATATTCTATCAGTTTGAATTTGTTGATCATCAAAGGTTATTTCCTAAAATAACAATAAAAGAAATATTTATATGAAAATTGATTTGTCATACATTATTAAATGAACATTGTAAAGCAATATCTTGTGTTAAAATAGATTCTGTTTCAATTTGTTGATGAACATAATCTGGTGTTTTTTGACATGAATAATCATTTGTAGATACTGGATCAGTTTGAATTTGTTGATCGTCAAAGATTATTTCCTAAAATAATAATAAATAGGTATAAATACATATATGAAAATCGATTTGTTATACATCATGAAATGAACATTGTAAAGCAATATCTTGTGTTAAAATAGATTCTGTTTCAATTTGTTGATGAATATATTCTGGTGTTATTTGACATGAATAATCATTTGTCGATATTGAATCAGTTTGACTTATTTGTGTATGATAATCTGTAATAATTGTCTCTGTTGTTTGATCAATTGATGTTGGAATAAATTGACATGAAAAATCTTTTTGTTCATTAACAATTGTTTGTATTGAACAATCATTTAGATCTGGATTTATTTGACAAGCAATAGTTTCTGTTGATATAATATCTGTTTGTGTTGATTGAAATTCGACAGTTAAATGAATTGTTTCAATATCTTTATCAACATATAATGGAGCCATTTGACAACAGAAATCTTTTTGTTCAATGATTGGAATAGGTTCTGGTTCAGTATAAGCATCAACATATTGTTTTTCTTGTTGTTGTTGAAAACCAAGACTATTTGTAAGAATTAATGAAGATTCATCATCAAAATGAGCAAGAGGAACTGCTGGTTTAATTGTTCGTGTTGGTCCAAGTGGAGTTGAAACAAATTGACGGCTTGATAATGATGAACGTCGACGTGGTAAACGAAATTGTATAGATGTACTTCCACCATTATTTCCTGCGCCAAGTGTTGATTGAAGAAGATCAGGTGCAAGATATGGAGTAACTTTAGTTAAATCATCTAATGCATATGTATTACTTGATTCACTAGAAATATATTTTTTAAATTTAAATTAGAAACGAAGGAAAAAATAATAAATAATTGAATTACTACTAGATAAATATATAGATAGCACGCGATTAAATCTCAAGAGAGTTTTTTTTATTATATATGACAAAGAGACAACTTATTTGCGAATTGATTGATTGTCAGTTTTAATTGTATAATAATAATTGATTATACATTCAGAAATAAGAGAATGATTCAAAGAATTATATATTATGCAAAAACGATTTATTTTCTTTTCGTTAGATATTATTTCTCACTTTGAGATAAACAGTCTTTTTAGACGAAACCATGAATATTTGAGCAACAACAACAAACATATACACATGATTATCAATATGTAGTTCATGATGTTAAAAGGACATGTTTTAATTTTTTCAGAGTTTGATAAGTTATTTAGATGAATTCGAGTAATACCAGTTTCGACTGAATTATATAAGATTGGATTTATTAACAAGGTCAGTGGAGAAACTTGTGAGATGTTTGTTTATTCCATAATCGGACAGTAATCCATATAAAAAGAATGCAGACACTCCAAACACACAGAACAATATATTTATCTACCACTGCTAACGCCTTCTGTCATGCATACATGCGTTCCAACGCATCCTCTCTGACTCAGAACACCAAAAAATGGAAGAGGAGCAAAAAGACAAGTAAGAGGAGTGTGAATGAAAACAAATAAAATATGAGAGAGAAAAGAATGTATCATGCACAGAGCACATGGCGAAACTGAACAACGGAATCAGATAGAGATCTCAATGACTATTTATTCAGTTAATGTCTATCTAATTAATATCACCATTCAATCGAATTTCAATACTAAGATTTCGAAATGAAATGTTACTCTATTTGCCACTGAAATTGATAAACCATTAAAGTCTCTTCTAAAATTTAATACATATTATCAATTTTACAAAAATGCATCCTTTGTATATAAATTACAGCATCACAATTCATATCTCGAGAGATTCTTTAAAAACTTACCTAAACGAGCTTAATTCACAACAATTGTTCTAAAAGAATAATCAATATTGATATTTTATTCATAAAATTTCTATTCAATTTACCTCTTTAAGCATAGTCAATGTTTTTTCGTAGATATGACATTGCCGTACCATATCTCTATTAAAATGGCAAAGGAAAATTATTCATTCAATGAAACAAAATTTCTCTCTGACAAATAACTTACTGATATTTTGCATCGATTTTTTTAAATTCAGTTACTTCATGTACAAGCATTATTTCAACTGAATGAAATAAACGTTGAAGATATGGTTTAAATTTTCCATAACCTAATTTATCCACGATAGATGCATAACCGTCTTTTAAACGCTAAAAAAAGATTAAAATGTTCTTTTTTATTCTTTAAAATTATTTGGTTAAATGAATTACTTTAAGATTGAATAAACTCTCGTGGATATTTTCATCTTGCATATCCGTAGATGTCGAAATCATTTTTTTCTTCACTTCATCCATGAGTTTCAGATTTTAATTGATTGATATTCGTTACCTAAAGAACATAATGATTGAATGACCCGGGTGTTCTTTGTTCGTTGAAGAATCACAAATAATCTTCATTATTTAATTTCTACTGAATATAAATTTCAAAAATAATATTAAAAATGAGAATATTTTATTAAAAATCAATTAAATCATTTTTCAAGATATAGATGGCGGTATCGTCTAGTTTTAAAATAATAAAAAAAAATGAGAGTGGTTTTAATGAATCATACATATCCATTTTTTTTATCTACACACGGAAAAGAAAGAATTGAATATAAGATTGTCATGAGTCCGGGTTAAAATTTTATTTTATTTCATTATTTAACATGGCAAAATCAAGTGAAATACTTCATTTTAAAATTCTTATTATTGGTGAATCAAGTGTTGGAAAAGTTTGTATTTTATTTTTCAAAAAAAAAAATTTATATTTATTTTGTTATAATGTAGAGTAGTTTAATGACTCGTTTTGTTGATGAAACATTTCAAGCAACATTTTTTCCAACCATTGGTGTTGATTTTAAAGTTCGAACATTAGTTATTGATGATTATCAATGCAAAGTTCAGATTTGGTTAGTTTATTTAATTTAAGAAAAGAAAACCTTGAAAATCTTCAGTTAAAAAATATGTCTGACGAGTATTTACATAGGTCGAATATAGAAAAGATTAATGTCATATTAAACTTTCTTTCTTATTATGTTACAGATATTCATTTGAATAATTTATGCCCGAAATGAATCTTATAAATACTCCATTCATAAGTCATAATTTTTTTTTATTAAAAATTATGTGAGTAAAGGGATATCACATATTTATTTTTGAAGAACGCTTTTATCGTTGTAAAAGTTTTGTTTTGCATATTTAGTATCGTTGTGTCCGTATAGAATTTTATGCTTTTTTCTTTACAGGGATACAGCTGGTCAAGAACGTTTTCGTGTGATAACAACAACTGTATGTTTTATTGCTGTTTGAATTTTGTTTGTAATATTTGTTTGTTTAGTATTATCGTGATGCAGCTGGTGTTATAATAGTTTATGATGTAACTAATGGTGAATCATTTTCTCGTATTCGCCGTTGGATAGACGAAATAAATAAATACTGTGATAATAGTATAGCTAAAGTACTTGTTGGCAATAAAGATGACAGTCCATCATTAGATGGCGGTGAACAAATGGAAAAAATAGTATCAACATCGGATGCTCAACAATATGCTCGTCAAATGAATTTAACATTTTTTGAAACATCAGCAAAAGACAATAAAAATGTTTCTGAAGCATTTTATGCTGTTACACGTTTAGCATTATATCAACGTTTAGATGCACGAGCGAAAGGACCAGTTATGCAACATAATGGTGCTACAACATCACAAAATATTCGATTAAAATCATCAGGAAAATCGAAGAAAAAAGATAAGAAACATAATGGTTCATGTTGCAAATAAGTTGTGATAATTGTTTTATCTTTTCGTACAATATTTCTATCATTCCAATTTATTGTTTTGAGTTTTGTTGTCTCGTACATATCATCATCATTATAGAATACGCTTTTTTCTCTCTCATTGTATCGTTCTCGTTTGCTTTTCTTTTTTAAATGAAAAACATTTTGAAACAAAATATGTGTAATATGTAAAAGTAAAAAATAATTTATTCAATGATTCATTTGTTTCTTCTAGATATGGCATCAACAGCAAAAAATCTTGATACTGTTCAAACATTTAAAATTCTTATTATTGGAGATTCAGGTGTGGGAAAAAGTTCATTAATGGTTCGTTTTGTTGATGATATTTTTACAGCTGCATATATTACAACAATTGGAGTAGATTTTAAAATGAGTACGATTAATGTTGATGGACATCAATGTCGAATACAAATATGGTTCGTTATGTTTAAAAGTATTTTACGAGACTGTATCGCATTAATAAATGATATTTAAAGTAGATAATTGAATATAAATTATAAATTTTGAAGAACAATGTAGGAGTAGGAGTCTTTGTGTTAGAAATATAATTGAGACTATCTATTATTGGACAAATGTCAACGCGTTCCACCTACAAATTTAATTTCTTTTTCTATTTAGGGATACTGCAGGTCAAGAGCGTTTTCGTGTTATTACAAGTAACTGAACTAATAAATTGTTTTACTAAATGCATATTTGTTTCTGATAGGTACATATTATCGAGGTGCTGATGGTGTGATTATTGTTTATGATGTATGTAAATAAATCTTTTCTTTTCTCTTATTTTCATTATTTTATTATTAAGGTAACAAATGGTGAAAGTTTTGCTAATTTAAAAGATTGGATTACAGAAATGGAACGTCATTGTGATAAATCAGTCCCAAAAATTCTTGTCGGTAATAAAGATGATAATGATAATGAAGCGGGTAAAGTTGTCTTAACTTCTGATGCACGTGCATATGCTGAACAAAAAGGTTTACCATTCTTTGAAACATCAGCAAAAGATAGTAAAAATATAGCTGAAGCATTTAATGAAATAACCAGTCTTGCACTTAAACGACGTCTTAATCAATCGAATAATGGACAAACACCTACTGGTGGTACACGTATTGGAGCAAAACGAACAGTAGTTGGTGGTACACCAAAAAAATGTTGTGCTACGTGAATGATTGACTTATCTTCTTCTTCTTCTTTTTTCTATTATGATTTATTTTCACGACTTCGTATTAAGTGCAATATCAATGCATACCATTTTTTCTGTCACTAATTTGTTTTACATAGAGGCACTTATCCTAATGATTTTCTTTTGTTTCATTTTTTTTTGTTTAATTAGTCACTAAAAATATTGACGATGATCATAACAACAACAACAAACATTTATTTGTATACATGTGTGAATCTTTCGACCTTTTTTTTTATATTGATTATTGACATTCAGCGATTGTATTTATCCGTTTGTGTGTGTGTATGAATGAAGATGCTCCTTGTATTTGACTTCACTTTTTTAACAATGAAGTAAAAAAACAAAGATTTTGTTGAATATATATATATACACAAAAGATATATTTTTCGTGCAATGACCTGTATGGGATAATACTTTCTAAGTACATTAAATTTTGAAAATCAGAAACAAGAGAGTCTGATTTGTATTTAATAAATTTTTGAATTGAAATCTAGGTTGTTTTTCGGAAATACTGTGCTGCCTCTTCTCCATTGAACTGAATAGTACTTTTGTTTTGCTAAAAAAACATTTTAATGAGAACATTGTGCGCTTTAAGTTTGTAATATTTATAAAACTAACATGAATATATACTGCGGAATTAATTTTAATTGATAAAATGTAATCAACGGAAATTAAGTCACATACTTATAAGACATCGAACAAAAAGTCACGTTCTTCAAAAAAAAACGAGATACTCTTCCACGAGTTAGATCTATTAAAAGTTGGCGATGCATGCGCATAAGAATAAAAGGATTAACTCAATTGCATTACTTCTTTTTTCTTAAGAAAATCTGTTCTATTAACTTTCATTCTCGGTAAGACAGAGATATTCTATTTTACAGTTATATTCATTTGACTTAATAATCATGGCATCTTTGTGTACGATTTTCAGTTGGTCACCTAGTACACTTGATTCATTAGGACCTACATTAATTGTAGCTAGCATTGCTGTTGGTACTCATAGTCTTTTTTGGATTCAATTTATCGTATGTTCAACATTACGACAACGAAATATGATGTGGCTCTATGCTTATTTAGTTACGGATGGTCTTCTTATTGCACGATTCTTTATTTTCTATGCTATACGTCTAGTATCTATTTGTTTATATCCAACAGCTCGAGATGTTTTATGTTATTTTGAAGCATCATCAAAGTTCTATATTAATACAGTACAAACTTATCTTTTATTAGCATTTAATATTTGCCGATATTTACAAATAGTTTCTAATAAAAATATTTATATAAAACGACCTCGCTTAATTATTTTCATACATTTTCTAATTTATATATTACCAGCAATTAATGTTATTGTACAATTTGTTGCTCAACTATCACAAATATATCGTCGACGAGGTGGATCTTGCGATATAGTATATGTATCAACAATAGTACAAGTATTTAATGTATTTGTAATTTATATTATACCTATATTTTCAAATATTTTTATTCTTGGACTTGGCATACATTATGTTAGTTCAGTACGAGGTATTTCTAATGAACAAATTATTGGTATTCGTCGTAAACGTCAACGAATACTTTTATTACAAACAATAATATTTTATTCGATTTGGCTTGTTTTATGGAGTCCAGATGTACTAGCTGGGCAATTTACTAATGCTAATAGTGATCCAGCAATTTTTACATCTTTATTAAGTATCATTGAAATCGCTTTAGATCCAGCTATCATCGGTATAATTGACATTCGATTTTTTACTATTTGGAAAAAACTATGGATTCAAATGAAAAGACATCATCGAGTAGGCGCTATTTCATGAAAGAAATTCATGTACACTTCAAATATATTAATCATTATTTTTTTCTGTATACACATATATATCTAATAAAATATTACCATATAGTTATCAATGACATATGTTTTGACGCCGGCACTAATAACATGAGGGATACAGAATAATTCTCTCATTTAGATTTCAATATATGATTAAATCCAAATTACAATGAATTTTGTTCTTAATCGGAAGGAAATATTATTTATACTGAGAGAAAAAGTACAACCCCTCCCAAAGTCACATTATGAGTTACGGTCATTATACCCTCTTTTGAATACAGAAATATTTACCTGATGTAAACGACCGACATCTGTCAATATGAATGGTTAAAGTTTTAAAATGAATAAACTTTTATTCGGATTCCATTTTAAATTATCCTGTAACGATAATCATATAAAATAATCAAATAATTTTTATCCAATTACTATAAAAAGCCTTGTCCATCTTTTTTAATACCTATCCATTGTCTACGAAATTTTTTCGTTCGTTCTGTCTGTCTGTCTAATATGACTGTTTTTTTCTCCCGTCGATACAGTACCTACTAATCATCATCATATTGAGATATATGTTTTCAAACGTTTCGGTTGATTAACTAACTGTATTTACATGCATGAAATGAGGAAAATTTAGATAAGCTTTTTAGCAAAAATAATTTTTTATTTTAGATGTCGGTGCTAAAATTTCTATCATTGGTGCTGATATGTTTTTCCTTCCAGCAATGTTGTTATTCAAAATCAAATACTTGTAAATATTTGATTTTTTTTTATTTTCTAAATAAAATATTTGATTTTAGTTGATGTTTGTTCGGCATGGTCCGAGAATTGGAGAAATTCAGCTGAATTAAACAGTCTTGTTTATACAAATGTTAAACCAATGGGTGGTGCAAATGCTGGAAAATATTCTAAGTAAAAACAAAAACAATCAAAAGATTTTTCATTGGTTTTATTTTATTTTTTCTAGAATTAAAGTTAATAGTTGGGAAGCATGTGTCACTCAATGTTGTGAATTTCATCGGTGTAATATTGCTTTTTGGATATCATCAGTATGTGTTCATATTGAATGTGTATCCGATGAATTATGTGAACCAATCAATAGTGATGCTAGTGATATTAATGATGAAACATTCTATGTCAAAATTCGTTCGATTGGTAAGTCGAAATTCTTATTTAATTTAGATAAGGAATAGAAGAAAAAAGCAAATTTCTTTATTAAAGAATCAACAGCAGCTGCTATTGATTATGAAGATCCAGGACGTGATGAATGTAATGAAACAAAATTATGTGCAATCAATGAACAGTGTGAACAAATAGCAATCAATGCTCAATTAAAACGTAATGTATGTTTATGTGATCGTAAGAATGGTTATCGTCGTATCAATGGTAAAATATCAAAGACGAAAAGATTTATATTTTGAATAAATATATATTTAGGTGTTTGTCGTCAATATTTACTCCATGCAAAACCTTGTGCAATATATGAAAGTAACGATGATGAAGAAGATAATCTCGATAGTAATATTAATCATGGAAAATGCAATAAAAATGAAGAATGTTTACCACCCAATGATCGTGCTAAACATGGTTATTGTCAATGTAAATTAGGTTTTCTTCGAACAACAGATACTGGAAAATGTGTGATGGATGATAATCAAGAAATTCTATTAAAAACTTCAACAATAGCAATGAAAACAACTTCAATTTCATCATCATTATTTGATCTTGAAGTCAATGCTGGTGATGATCAAATAATAACATTACCTAAAAATCAAATTGATTTATATGGACATATTCTTTATAAATCAAATAAAAGTGAAATAGATATGTCAATATTAAATAATAAAAATTTGACTTTATTTTGGATACTTAAATCATCAACAAATGGAGCGAAAATTAATATATCGAATCACGAAGATTTAACATCACATACTGTTATTAAACAAGTACGAGAAGGAATATATGAATTTGAATTAAAATTAAATAATAAAGAAGGAAATACATTAGCATCCGATATTGTTAAAGTCGAAGTTCGCCCAGGTAAGAAACAAATAAACTTATATAAGATGTAAAGCTTTGAAATGTATAGTTTATTCAGTTTGAAATCGATATTGATTATTTACACAACTGACTAACTCTATCAAAATTTTGTTGTGCTGTAGATAATATGAAACTCTATTTTTAGCTACAACAACACCACCGCCTCTTGTCGTCAAAGTACCTTCGCCATTAACAATTCGTTTACCTCAACAAATAACGAAACTTGAAGCACATGTTGAACCATCTGATCGTCGTGTTACTTATCAATGGACATATATGAACGATGGTCCTACTACACCATTACTTGACGTTAGTAATCTTAATATAAATATTAATAATATGAATTGTTTTTAGAATGTTGATACATCGGAATTATCAGTATCAAATCTTCGTCCAGGTAGTTATTCATTTCAATTACGTGTTGTTGATAATCTTGGTAATGAACAAATCAAAACTATTCAACTAGTTGTTACTGGTGGTAAGATAATAAACAAAATTTCTTCTTTAATTATTTAAAAAAAAATAATAAATTTTAGAGCCAATCGAAGCTCGAGTAAGCACTCAACGTGAAGTTGTATTTTGGCCATCAGATGATGTTATCCTTGATGGTACATCCAGTATTATTGAACAACAAACAAAAATAGTTTGGACATTATTATCAAATGATAATAAACAACCTATAAATGAAATTGAAGTTGTCTCTCCACATTCACTTAAAACAAGAATATCAAATCTTCATGTTGGTCAATATATATTTCAATTAATATTAACAACAAATGATCAAGCATATGTTTCAAAAAAAAGATATTCTTGTTATTGTCTATGCACAAGATGGTCAACCACCAAAAATTTCAATTAATTCAGAAACACCAAATGTTAATATTATCAATAATCTTCTTATTCTCAACGCATCAACAACAACTGCTGATTATGGTATTGCAAAATGGCAATGGAAAAAAAGTCCATTAAGTCCAGCTACTGGATATTTTATAAATAATTCCGATTCATCATCGATCGCTTATATAACAAATTTAATCGAAGGACAATATATATTTAATCTTTATGTGTATGATGATCGACATCAAATGAGTGAAAGTAATATAACTATTCATGTTGATGGTATACCGGATGCTGGAAATTTAATTGAAATTATTTTCTCCGCAAGACCATATTTATATGAACAAACACTTGATAATCTTTTAGCACAAATACGTGTTTTTCTTATTGATATAATACCTAATATTGATATAATTATGGTTGGAATGTTGGACAACAATATTTTATTACTAAAAGGAATAGATTCAAAAACTGATATGATTATTTCACCAAAAATACTTGCAATTCATTTACAAAAGAAAATTAAATCATTACGTTCAGCTTCAAATATGAATATTTTATCAATTGATACTCATTTATGTTTATCGAATTGTTCAAATCATGGAAAATGTGATCAGAAAACAAAACGTTGTATTTGTAATAGATATTATATGGAAAATTGGTTGAAATCATTTATGCATAAAGAACCAAATTGTGGTAAGTAGAGAAAAGAAACTATATTCATATATTTGAAATATTTTTTACAGATTTTGCAATTCATTATTTTGTTTTACTGACAATTCTTGGTTCAATATTCACAATAGTATTTTGTTGGTTATGTTTATGTTGTTGTTTACGTTGGAGACGTCGTCGTAATTTATTAGAACGTCGTAAACGTATTCGTTATCAATTATTACATGAAAATGATGATGATGATAATGAGGATGATAATGGTAAATATAGTCCGCATAGTCCAAAAGAAAAAAGTAAAAGTAAATTTCGTTTATTAAGAAAAAGTATGTAGAAATAAAATTCGATTTTATTTTCCAAGTAAGAAAAATATATTTCTCTTTTAGATAAACCAAAAACTTCTAATGTAATCATCTCTGAATCTGATATGTCGGATGAACATGGTGAACAAACACTTTATGATAAGCCACTTCTCACAGCTAAATTACAAATGGGTTCACCAAATACAATAAAAAATCGTGGATTAAAAGTTCCTGTACAAGATAGTAATGGTAGTCCGATGTTACGCAAAGATGGTCAGTCACCACCAACAACTGACAATAATGTTGCTTAATAATCTGAAACGAATCTCTTCCGTTGTGATAAACTAAAAACAAAAAGAAGTCTCATTTTTCTTTTCTCCGTTATTTCTTTTTTCTTTTTTTATTTATTTATATTCATTGACTATTTTCATCTACTTTATTCAGTTTATCTTTAGTATGATATTGTACTTCTAATCAGTATTTTACTATTATTATATTTTCTTTGATAGTGATAAAAACAAAAAAAAAGAAGAAGAACTTATTTAACTGTGATTTTTTTCCGTTTTTAGATTCTTTTTTTTAATAATCATGTCACTTATCTGTTCTCGTAAGTGATTTTATCGAAATACAATAGAATTTGTAAGAAAAAATTAATATTTTAGTTTCAAATGAAGTTCCTGAACAACCAGTACTTTCACCTGTATCAGGATGTATCTATGAAAAACGTTTAATTATTAAGTATTTACATGAAGTATCAACTGATCCAATTAACGGACAACCATTAACTGAAGAACAACTGATTGATGTTAAAGGTAGTTTTTTTTTAAATAGAAATAAGCCTCTTATTGATTATACATATTTTTCGAACAATATTGTCTGCGATCCTTTAAAAATTAAGTTATAAGTAAATTTGTTTTTCAATTGTAAATTTAGTTACACCACTTGGTAAACCCAAACCACCATCAGCAACGAGTATACCAGCTATTCTTAAAATGTTACAAGATGAATGGGATGGTACTATGTTACATAGTTTTACACTTCGTCAACAATTACAAACAGCTCGACAAGGTTTTTTTATTGTTTGATATCAAAGTATAAGTTTTTATTTCATAAATTTAGAACTTTCACATGTGATGTATCAACATGATGCAGCTTGTCGTGTTATAGCTCGTTTAAATAAAGAAGTCACAGCTGCACGAGAAGCTTTAGCTACACTTAAACCACAAGCGGGTATTAATCAATCAATACCAACAGTAAGAAAGTTTAAATTTTTCGTATTTAATTTGTTTTTGTTTCTAGCAATTTGCTAATGATCAACCAATGCAAACATCATATCATGGAACTACTGCTGATATTTCTCAAACATCAGCTGCTGAAGGCATGACTGATGAAATAATTCAAAAAGTAATTTCATTTATATATAAATTCAATTAAGATGAATTCTTTCTAGTTACAAGATAAAGCATCAGTTTTAACACAATTACGTAAACAACGTGGTAAACGTGTTCCAGAAGGTTTAACAACTGTCGATGAAATGAGAAATTTTCGTTGTTCAGCAACACATACAGTTTGTTCTTATCCTTCTTATTTTTTTTTCTATACATATTTAAATAATAGGCATTACATAGTGCTGGTACTCCTGGCATATTAGCTCTTGATATTTCACCAAAAAATCCTAGTATAATTCTAACTGGTGGAAATGATCGTCAAGCTGTTGTATTTAATCGAGATAGTGAACAAGTTGTTGCAACACTTAAAGGCCATCAAAAGAAAGTTACACATGTTATTCATCATTTTGATGAAGTATGAAAAATTTCGAAAATATTTTCTTTTAATTTTAAAAATAATATAATTTTCTAGGAAATTGCAATTACAGGAAGTGCAGATTCAAGTATTCGTGTATGGCATATTCCATCTGCACAATGTTTGAAAGTTCTTAAAGCTCATGATACTCCTATAACAGGTCTTTCACTTCATCCAACTGGTGATTATGTTTTATCAAGTGCAAGTGATACATTATGGGCTTTATCAGATTTACGTACAGGAAAATTAATAACAAAAGTTCAAGATACAACTTCACAGAAAGGTTTACATAAGAAATTTTTTGTTTAGTATTTGGTAACATTATGAAATTTATTAATAGGTTTAACATGTGCACAATTTCATCCAGATGGTATTATATTTGGTGTTGGTACACAAGAAAGTGTTATAAAAATTTGGGATTTAAAAGAATGTAATAATGTTGCCGATTTTCCTGGTCATGCTGGTGGTATTAATACAATTGCATTTTCTGAAAATGGTAAAATATCAAATTTCAAATAATCTATCTATGGTTTTGTTTTTTTTCTTTAAGGTTATTATTTAGCAACAGCTGCTGAAGATGCATCAATTAAATTATGGGATTTACGTAAATTGAAAAATTTTAAAACTATCACACTTGAAGATCGTTATGAAGTAAAATTGATTTATTTATATGTAAATATATATATATCGTGTTTTTACTTTAGATACGTGATTTAGTTTTTGATCAAAGTGGAATGTATCTTGGTGTAGCTGGTACTGATGTTCGGTAAGTATTTTAAAAGGAGTTTTTTTTTATATAATTAATTTCGAATATAAATAGAGTTTATCAAGCAAAACAATGGGATTTACTTAAAGTATTTAATGATCATACAGCATTAGCAACTGGTATTCGATTTGGTTCGAATGCTAATTATTTAGCCAGTTCAAGTATGGATCGTTCATTGAAATTTTATGAACAATTAACACAAGAATAATCTTCTTCTGATAATATAAACCATTGATCAATGAGAATTTTTTGTATGTGTGTCTTTTGAAAAAAAAAATTTATTGTTGTTATTGTTGTTATTGTTGTTGTTGTTTTTTCTGTACTTATTCGAATAAAAACAAATGATGTGAATATATACAGAAAGTCTAAAAATGGTAATTATTTAATCAATACGATAGATGAAATAATAGTAATTGAAAAAGGCGAAGGTAAGAATTCATTAGCTTTGGAATTTTGATGAGAAACAGGAAATTAATGACAAATACCAAAAAAAGAGAGAACCTGTAAAGGAAATACTTGTTTTTATTTCCTTTTACGCGACTTTTTTTCTACATTCTCTTATATCAGTCAATGTTTGCCATACTGTCTATGAAAGGAGGAGTGTATACTGTTAGTGATTCTCCACCCTCAAGATCAGAATGTCATTTATCAAACAAGATGACACTGGTCTATCAGTACACTGTTCTCAGTTAGCTACGATCATTTTATATCTATTTATCTGTCTTATGTTTGTAATAAGATTGTCGTGTTTTATTAGTAATTTTTTATTCATGACGTTTTTTTTCCTTGATTGGGATGGCAAATAGGCAATATGTTGATCGGAATATATATATATAAGTATTCATCATTTCGCTCTTGGTTGGTTAAACATCAATTATTGTTGTATTTGGATCACACCAGAGACGACGATCTAATGCAAACAGTCAAACATCGACAACATATGTAATATATCCTTGAGCTAAATATGTGCCGTCACAGTAAGAGATATATGCACTCGAGAAGACCTGATACTGTCACCTAGTGTACCAGTCAAGCTGTTAAAGATCGAGTATAGATTAAACGAGCCTACTGCAAAATAAGTGCGCTTATTATATAAAGTGTAGCTTCCTTATATTCTTACGATTGATTTTGCCCTACTTAGTTAGTTTATTGATGTGATGAGAATAATCAAATAGAAGAACTACTCTAGTTTCGTGATTTCCGCTTATCTTTTAAGATTGAAATGTAATATCAACGGAAGTAAACTAATGCCATTTTCTTTTCTCACTTTTTCTTATTATCATTTCTTCATAAAAAATTATTTCAATACATAAAAATAAATTATAAATTCAAGTACAGTTTAGTCAATAAAATAGTGTTTGTTTTTATGATCATCTCTAGAGAGAACTTCTAGTTATGATGATTCTGTTTAGGTTCTTATGGATAATACAAGCTACTTATTTTTTCTATCATACTTCTTCTCGGCGTTTTTTTATTCCTTATCTTTTCGTCATCATCATCATTGCTTGGCTGATTGGAGACAAAGATTATGCATCTATAAGCGCGCACGACTTCACTTTCTCTCTCTCTCTCTCTGGAGTCTACACCTCCTACAGGATCTTTTGGCATTACATCCAGACGCACTACTCATGTTCGATTCTTTTTTTTCAGTCTGATAGCAATCATTTATTTTTTGCGTTTACTTATCTGATAAGATGTTTGGCTCTCGAGCATTTACATCAACTGCCGCCGGCCATAGATGTGCTACATCTGCAAAATTCACAAGTACAAGACAAGTTGAGAATGATATTCCAGGTTAATTTTTGAATAATATTGATCATTATTTTACTTTTTATGTATAGAGCGATATCAAATAGCCGATGTTGAAGATGAAAAAGATCCTAAACGAAGTTTAGCTTGTGCAATTATTTCCTCAGCATTCTGTCCTTTTTTAGGTGAGTAGTTATCTATTGAATATTAAAACAAAAGATTTATTCGAATAAATATTATATTAAGGTATTATTGCTATTTTCTATGCAATTCGTGCTGTACGAGCATATAGTCAAGGATTCTATGCAGAATCATCAACATTTTATAAAAAAGCTATTCGATGGTCACTTATTACATTTATTATTGGTCTTGTACTTGGTTCAATAATAGCATTTATTTTTTTTGTCAAAGCTGTTCTTTTTGTCTAAATAATCAAATTGATTTGTTTGTTTTCTGATCTTTATTTTCAATCAAATCATATTTGTTGGTGATGATTGATTGCATATTTCTATTATATATACATATATACATACATATAAATACTA